TTTTTGGCTATTGCTAGAAATATACCCCAGCGACTTAAGACTGGTTTTGTGCTCCAGAGTCACATACAATATGTATTAATGTTTTTTCCATTATTTGATTGTGATGTATATGAAAGCGGGTGTGTTTGTATTACATTTTCTTTGTCCTGATTTGGGCATGCAGGTCGTGTCTGTCAGCTGAAAGTGTTCTGCTGTGGGACTGCTGCTTCAGACACTTCTTACAGCTTCAGCAACAGAAAATCCTCAGCGTTGAACACATCATCCAGCTCTTCACTCCACTCCTAGTGCCAAGCAATGCCACCTACACTGAGAAGGTACCGCTCTTACCTGATTTCTGCTTCACAATCATTTCTCAAATCTATCTATTAGGGGTGTAATGATACACGTATTCATATTGAACCGTTCAGTACGAGGCTTTTGGTTCGGTACGCATTACAAACCGAACGATTCGTTGGACAAATCCTATTACATTTGGAAAATAAAAGAGCTTAAAATGAGTAAAATATAATTTTCTCAGTGCCACTGTGCTCAACAAGACAGCCCAAATGACGTAACAGGCAACGCATTTCTTCAGTGTTGTCACATGAAAAGATATAATAAAATATTTACAAAAATGTGAGGGGTGTACTCACTTCTGTGAGATACTGTATATATGTCTATGTCTGCGATCACCTCCCCTTGCTGGGTTGCATCGAAAGACGATCTTGTATCGACGATAGCCAGATATATTGTCAAAAACATCAATTATTGGCAATATTAAGAGGATTTGGCTTTTCCAATTAATGTAGGCCTATTACATTCTTATTTTATTAGGCCTATTATTATTATGAAGTTACTTTTATTATTAAATCAAGATTACAATTAATTTGCGCCAGCGGCATAAATTATGGCATAACTGACGCGCTGCGAGGATAACAAAATATTAGGCTATTTACTCCTCGATTAAAATGTTTTTAACAAAAGTCTTTTAAAACAGGTCTATTGTACAGTGAATTATAGACCTATAATTAAAATATTAACACTGCAGTCATCAATAAAAATCAATGAAATAAGCTTTTATTTCAAGCACCGACTTTCAAAAACAACCTGTTTAACATGAAATACAGTATGTTTCTTCTCATTTTTTTCATTATGTACGGGCCATAAGAGAAATATTAAGGGAATAAATAAAAACAGTTAGCGATATACCATTATCAGCATATGTTGAAGTAGATTCGTCTCTCGCTGTCTCTGAGAGAATATGCGCGTCAGATGCCGAAAGCTCCGTTACTCCGTCATTCCGTTTGTACTTTCACTTTCTACATAGTGAATTGACTGAGATTAAGATGTTCACCAGCATAACTCTTGCACAAAGTTTGCACATATCGTTGCTTGTGTGATATCCATTGGCTCGCCTTCGTGGTTTTAAACAGAAATATTTCCAACACTACGACGTAACCAATTACTTTCTTTCGTTCTTTCTTTCTTCCACGGGTCCTTAACTGTTAACAGCAGGAAACAGTTTTTCTAGGAAAAACTCCAGTTCTTTAATTAATTAAAATGGAAATCTACTTCAGCATTGCTGAAAATGCCCTTAAAGTTTCAATGATTCATGTTAGTGTCCATAAAACCACTTTTTAATGTCTGTAGTGGTGAATATGGAGGCATTATTATCCCGGAATATGTAATAATTACAAGAAAATAATGTTTTTAGAATATGATGCAGCTGGCCCAGTAAAATGACCTCACCCTGTAAATGTATATGGGTCTTTCCTAGAGCAGCCCTGCTATAAATTCCAGCTTTATAAAGTTCTTTTCTTTTTTGTTAAAATGAGGTCATGGGGTTGGTGTTACTCTCCTGTTGTTATAAGGCTGTGTTATGTGGCATTTGGCCTCTGATGTGTGAATCTATTGCTAGGATGTGATAATAGTTGACATTTGACCTCCTTTCCTTGTCATTATTTCTGATAGTTTCTCTTGACACAGTGCAGAATTTATCAGCATTTTTTACTTGCATAGTGAATATTTGGCTTGCTTTATAGTTGTGGTTTATATATTGCTCATGTATATTTCAGTTGTTCTGTTTGTTCTGTATCTCATGCAGAGAAAATGAATTCTGATCTCAGGATCTGACCCGAGGATGACAATCTTACTAACAGTTTACAAAGACTTAGTAATATTAGTGTTTTGTAATATTGCTTAACAGCAGTTTTAAGTTGAGAGCAGAGCTTTGAATAAAGATAACGATTTTATTTTTTATTTTTTAAAGTCAGTCACCAGCTTCTCTCATGCAGTGCATTGCCTGTGGTATCAGCCCTCAGATCTTGTAGAATTGTATGTGAAAAGATGAGAGGCTGAGCAGTGAGTGGCTCAGATGGAATCTGCATATTTTCTGCACTGATTTTTGCTAGAAAATTATTCTGGAGATTAGATTTTTAAATTCAAATACATGGTAAAAATGTGTTAAATAGTACTGCCAAAATGTTTAATTAACAGACATTCAGTGGGTGCTGCTGATTCTATGTGGGAATCCTACATGTTTTGTTGTTGTTGTTGTTTTTAGCAAATTCCAAACATTAAAAACAAAAAGCACATTCAATCTAGTCAGGCTGAATCTGGACATTGTACACATATTGATATCATTATGAATAACGTGATTTGGAAATATCATGGAATTTCAAAACTGCGATTTCCGGGCCTGCAAAAGGATTAGTTTTTGTGAAATATAATTTTTTCTAATCATGCATGACTGGTAATATTAGGTGGTGGAACCCTGAAATAAAGACAAGTCGTCTCTTTGTCATCCAGGCAGGGGAGCTGTTGAAGAGGCTTCTGACCTACGAATCCGAGAACCATCAGCCGTCATCTTCTTGCAGCTTGCCCTCTCTTCTGGATGACAGTGTGGAAATCAAGCCCGCCAGGCCTTCCACAACAAATGAGCAAACTGTTGGAACACAAAGGTAGTAGGCTTGTTTGACATTTCCGCTTAGCTGGCACTTTTATGCATTTACAAATTCTGCTTATTGCAAAGATCAGTTTTTCCGGCTTCAGATGAATAGCCTGTTTAAATACGCACAGGTGTTAAGAGCCGTGCTCGGCCAGACAGTTTAGATCAGAGAGAGTAACTGAGAAGGGACTCCCCAAAAGCAGGCAAAGCGCATGAACGGCTCATTTCCAATGCCAAAGCAGAGAAGCATCAGCTCGGTGGCTCCATTCTGATGAAGGAAGAGGGGACCTCGAGTACTCGCAGGATGCCAGAGCTCTGACCCTCGTGAGAATACACTTTTGCCCAAATCTCATTTCTGACAAAGCCAGCCAGCCTTCATTCTCCCTTTAAACCTGTCTTAATCAGTCCTGCTGTTCAGATTCAAAAAGCTCCCCACCCCCCTTCCCCAGCTCTTTCTCTTTCTTTTCTTTCTCGTTTCTCCTCTGTCTCGCTCTTCCACCGTCTCTCTGAGCTGCGCTTTCCTTCTCTTTTCTTTGTTTCAGGAATTCAAAGTGCTAAAGAGGACAGTGCCGACCAAAGCCCAGTGGAAAGTATTCCTATTAGAGGTAAAAAGGCAGATCGAAGAAGCGCCCGTTCGGGAGTTCTTCTGTGCCTGTTTTGTCTTTCTCCTCACGCAGTAGATAATGGGGGTCCCTTTTTTTCCCAACTGGGTAGCTGTGAAAGGATGATCAAGGTGAATCAGAGGTCAAAGTCCCACCTGAAGAGTGGAACAGTTCCTCTAATTATCGGCAGAGAAAACAAACCCGTCTCTTTTCTTCTGCTCTAGGTATGGGTGAAACTGAGATTCTCAGAGCGCATAATGCGGAGGTTTAATTGTCCGCCGGCCGGGTTGGGGGTGCCGCACAAGATCTGTCATTGGTTCTCATTATCTGCTAAACAATGCCAGCCAGAGGCGGACTTGAAAAGACTGGATGTCAAGGCATCCTTTGAAAAGCCTCGGGTAGCAAGTCCCAGCGCCAGCTCAGAAATGTAAAACTATCCATTATTCCACTTGGCTATCTGATTTCAAACTGTGCCTTTCATGCGCAGGGCTAGCCCAAGAGCGCCACGGAGAGAGAAGTCCAGCTTCTCACTGCAACTAATCAAAGACATTATGGTAGTAGAAAACTGCCTCTGCTGTCCCTGGCTGCTTATGAGCTGTTTACAGGCGGCTAATGAAGATTGCGTCGAGTTCTGTTGCCTTTCGTATTACATCACTTTGCAATCATCAGTGGAAACAGCGTCCGAATGTTGGCCTTCCACCGTCTCCATGTTGGTAAAGCGCCGGCACGCACAATAGTGTTTTATGTATATGGCGGACAAAAAGGAAATCTTTAGATGCTCTTTCTACATGCTACTGATGCCTATATTTTGCAGTCATTACACCGGAAGAAACAAACTACATACCATACTGCAGATATCAGGATAACGAGATGCTGGAAAGTATTTTGTCTTTGGGAGCGTAACCACTTTGCATTTTTTTTTTTCCCTTTGCTTTCAGCATTTAAAACTCATACTTTTGTTTTCCAGGGCTCGTTTTCAAAAATATTTTAAGCTTGAATGCTCACTGGTTAAAGATCTCAATTTCCAAAGTTTATAGAACATGAAAGACAGAGTTTTGAATGGAATCCTATAAGATGTGTGGCAACACAAAAGCCGGCGGGCTCTTTTTTTTTTTTTTTCGGAGACGGCAGTC